GTTGATGGTCATATATATATATATATATATATATATATATATATATATATATATATATATATATTAAAAGTGGGAGGAGTTAAGTACATTTAACTTCTACCGCTTCAGATATTGATCACATTATTTTGAGAGATTGGCAACTTTAACCCTTGGTCTGACCCACCGCCCACTGCTTCCAACCTTATCACTTTTGTTTAATTGATTCTTTTGCCTTGTCGTTTCATCTACCGTTCCTCTAAATTACAAATGATGGTCTGGAGGCTGTTGTTGTCCTCGGTGTGCGATGGAGGTGGTTTGGTCGGCGGCTTCCCCGTTTCCATTTCCGGCTTCCTCAAGTGTAGCCTCCACTGTCGATCAGTTTGGGTTAGGGTTGTGATTTTGATCTCAGATACATACTCGATTTCCAACTTCCATCATGGGTTGCTTGCCACCATATCGTCGCCGGATTCCAGGTATGTTCTCTCTAATCTACTTTGTCCCCTCATCTCTCAAAAAGAAGGCATCAAACCCCTCTTACTCACCGTCTTCTCCACCAACTCTCACCATCACCATCCACGCTAACTCTCTTTCTCTTGGCATCTATCGCTACACTATTGGTGGCGGAGGCCATTACGGCTGTTAAGGATGTCGTAGAGGTAGTGGTCGAGGAAGAGAATAGGGTTTTAGGATGAAGGTACTGGTCCGCCAAATAATTGATGCCTGAAATCTTGAGAATTGCAATCGATGAAATAGGTATTCGCCGATACCCTTGAAAACTGAAAATTGAGTGGTATGCGGAGATCGAGGATTCGATCAGTCGAGTTCTTAATCAGCAAATCGGTACTCAATCGATCATCTAATGGCTCTTTCAAGTTCTATTTTTTTCAAGTTTCAATTTCACATTATAAATCAAATAGATATCTTACGGTTACGAATTGTCTTCGACTTTTGTGTAGTAATATTAGGTTAAAGTGGAAAATTCAAAAAGAAACAAGAGAAAATAGGCAAAACAGGAGAAGATGACTGAACCATGAGAGATTCTTAAATCTAATTACAGTTTCCAGTTGCATTTATCAAGAACAACATTACAACAATATCTTATGTAAAATTGTTGTACCCTATTATCGATCAGAATTTTATTTCTATTTGAGTTATTTGAGTTTTATGAAAGAAATATCTTATTCTTGTATCCTCTAATGTTTGTTGTTGATGAACACCAGGAGACGAACATGAGCTGATTTTTCCTTCACCATGGTGATACCTTTGCATGGCTCAAGGAGACTCAAACCCTAGATTTAGCTTTCCGCTTCCATCAAATGATCACTAACTCATGCATGGTTGATCTACAACCATCAAGATGCAAACTTTATGGACTTACGACATCAGAAACATCAAAAGAAACATCTCATAACTTCTGGAGCAACATTTACTCACAAGAATTCATTCATAGGACCAAAATATGCTAAAATCTAAACTAATTCTATATCTATACATAGGATAAGCAAGGTCAAGACTTTATACCTCCAATAAGATGAAAAGAGTGAATAAACCCTGGATCTACAAGCTCCAACTTGTTCAATGCTCCCCTACAAGGCTTCTTCTTCTTCAATATGCACCACACACACACACACACCAAAACACACACAAGGGTTAATCTCTTGAGAAATGGGTTAGGGTTTCGAGATAGTGCTCAAAAGTAGAGCTGGCAAAAATCGACCCAACCCGTCAACCCAACCCGAAACCAACCCAAAATTAGCGGGTTGGGTTGAGATTTTCAACCCATTTAACTTAAATGGGTCAACCCGTCTAACCCATTTAATTAAATAGGTTGGGTTGGGTAAAATTATCAACCCGTTTTTAACCCATCAACCCATTTAACTTTAATATATATATTTAGTTTAATATTATTTGAATATTATCATGTATTAATCAAAGTATTAATTTTTAAATTATAATGTTGCATTATTATTATCTATGTTTAATAAAATTCAATCCTAATTTTCATCCTTTTTTAGCGCCGATAATACTGGTCACTCTCCAAAATCACTGAAACTAAACATTTTTAATGTTATTTGAACAATTTATTTGTATTTATGAATTAGGATTGTGCTTTTGTCATAATTATGAAGTTTTATTTATATTTTATAATTTAAGTGGTATAATATTTAATTATATTATATATATATATATATATATATATATATATATATATATATATAATTGATTTTAAATGGGTTAACCCAAGTTTAACCCATTTATTTAATAGGTTGGGTCGGGAACTACATAAACAGGTCAACCCGGTGACAACCCATTTATCTAAAAGGTTGTGTTGGGTTGGAAATATCAACCCATTTAAATAAACAGGTTGGGTTGGGTTGAAATTTTCAACCCAATTATTAAATGGGTTGAACCCGAACCCAACCCAGGTCGACTCATTGTCACCTCTACTCAAAAGGGGCAATGGAGGCTGATAAGGAGAGAGCATTGGGACATAAGGTGTTTAAATAGGGTGCAAATCTTAGAAACTAGGGTTTGCCCCTGGATGACGTACGCCCAGCGTACCAGGGGGCTAAACCTGTGTCCAAGGCTCTTCGAGGTACACCCAATGTACCTCACTTACGCCCAGCGTACTTGGTCTCTATGCAACATAAATAAACACTTAATGAATAAGGAATTACCAGAAAAACCAGGCGTTACACATGACTTTTTCATGTGATAAATTTCACTATAAGATTTAATCACTTAAAATTAAACCTCGTCGCCTTATATGTCTTTACGTCTCACTTAATAACCAACACAAGGTAACTAATGTACATATCAAATAAAAACCCCGGTATAAAAGATGACATCTGGTGATGGGTATTCGACCATAGCACTACTTGTCGCTATTCTTATGTAAAACCCACGTTAATGTGTGAAGTCTGATTTGCAACGGTGACTCGTTTTGAGTAAACCGTCGTGGAAATAATCATGGAAATTAGTCTATGACTTTTAGCTTCGAGAAATATGAAAAACGACACCACCCCATTTTCAAAAACCGGCGCCAAAAATCCAGTTTTGTACTAGTGTTTCTATAATATTAATTATCTTAAGTTTGACTCGAGTGAGTCAACTTTTGGTCAAACTAGACTTTCTCAATTTTATCAAATTTAACCCTTATTTACTAGAGGTGTTAAATTTAAAGTTTATTTCTTCAAATTTACATATTTATTATTATTATTATTATTATTATTATATTTATTTAATTTAATTATTTAAAGTAAAAAGTTTCTTACTCTAAAAATAGGATATTACAGCAACACAATTATCATTATTAATAAGTATAAATGAACATGGGCTTAGACTTGTTGGCTTGTAGCCGATACCAATATTGATAAGTTCTCATAGTTGAGAGGCTTGGTGTAACTTTGAGAGGTATATATGCACTTTCTTAGTATACTGAAGTCATTAACTCAACATTCGTTTCTTCCCGGTTCTTTGAGAAGCGACTGGATCTATAGGCGGCGACAGATAGATCTTGAGACAACGGCGGTGTTGACGACTTTAGCGGTTAGAGCTAGATGATGCGGCAGCAGCGCAAGGGGGGAGGGGGAGAGAGAATTGATGTACGGCGAAGACGACGCTAAAACACATCGGAGAAGGCAGCCAAGGCTACGCTGACTGTTTATATGAGAGATGTTTTTTAGGAGGAGAAAGAGGAGATGAGATTTGAGAAGGGGGAAAATTGGACAGAGAAGGCACCTCCGATGACTATTAGAGGTCGTCAGAGGTGCAATGGCGGAGCCGGTAGGGGGGAAGTCGGGTGTTGCTCCCCCTCCAACTCTTTTAATTGTTTAATGATAGAATTATATATAATGAAGCCCATGAGTAATTATATGGCCCATCTCAGTAAACTAAACTCAAAGTCCCCTCTATCTATTTTAATTTGGTAAAGTGGGTATCTCTTTTATTTTATTGTCGGGAGTTGATTTTCGTTAGGAAGTTACCATTGCTTTCATTCTCCAATCAATAATAATAGGTAATCTTTAATTCTTACATATTTCATTAATTTTTGTAATTTTATCATGATTAGTAATTTGGTTTTTTATGATCATATTGTAAATTTTGAGCAACAAAAGAGTCATTGATTTTTTTTTTAAATGAAAAGAAAAATGTTCATGAACCACAATTGTATATTGTTAGAGATAATATTAGAGGAAGATATTTATAATACATGCCTACAACTTTAAAAAATAGTACTTTAGTAATATTGACGAGCTTTTTAGTGTTGAACCCGAATAAATGACTTTCTATTTTAAACTAGTAATCAATATTTTTTATTATCTTTTTAAGATTTAAGCCCCTGTTATTCTCAAATCCTGGCTCCGCCCCTGCAGAGGTGGATGACGGTTGCTACGAGTTGTGGTCAGCAGTATGGTTTTAACATAGAGCTCTGATACTATAGAGCTCTGATACTATGTAAGATAATAGATTGTTTGATTAATATTTAATAGTGAGAGTTAAATCTCATATAAATAAGGATACAAAAATGAACTAACCTAAATACCTAATAGCCTTGGACCTAAACCCAAATGTACTAACAGTCTTGTGTATAGGTTCGTGTGTAATTCTCTTTGATCGGTGTATCTTATGATTTACTTTGTTTAGATTTGTTGTTTGTAAACACTTTCTGTAAAATATCCGGTAATTATTTATGTTCTTGTTTAAAGTTGTTTCAATATTATTTAACATTTTAAGTGTATGTATGTATACATGTATGCATGAATAATATGTATTGAGTCATATTCCCATTTATAAAGTAAAAAAACACAACACCTAAGTATAATTACCCTGGACGACTAGACAAGTTGTTTCCTCTTAATTCTAAAAAGCCAAAAGAAATGTCTTCCAAAAATACATGATCCATTCTCAATCCCAATAAACGTTTATCATCTAATCATAGCCATATTCATCATCGCAAGCAAAACGGTTGATAGGATTAAGCGATGGTTGAATCAATATAGAGTTCGTTAAGTTTGTGATCATGTGCATGTTGTAAATTTGCATGTAACATTCCCGGTTGCTCCAGAGTTTGCCTTCATGAAGCGTTTAGCGGCTGCAAGAACTTGTTCTACAGAGTCTTCCATGAGCGCCCAATTTAGCCGATGGACGATATCATGAGGTTCATAGGCAAACACGATGCTACTATAAGAATTCAAGAGAGCAGTCGTTCCTTCCCTTAAAAGTGTCCGATAAGGATCTCGTCTTCCATACATGCTTTCATATATCGTCATGTTTCTGCCATATCTTATTGAAGCCAATGGCCCAAACACAAGTTGTACTTTTAGGTCTGGGTTCATCACTTTCCAATAGCATTTGTGTTGAGGCATCATCCACATTCTAATTAAAAACATTCAACAAATTAATATATAATTACACCCTTTGAATATCAAGAAGCTTAAGTTAGTCTATAAGTGTGATAAAACTTACTGGTATGAACAAGCTGAAGCTTCAAAGAACGGCTTGGCTGGCATGGGAGGCAACGGAGGTAACTCAGGCAATGGCGGCAATGCAGGTAGTGGTGGCAGTGGCGGAGGCAAAGGCTGCAATGGAGGAAACTCAAGCAATGGTGGCAATGCGGACCACCGTGGCCGTGCAGGTACTGGCGGTTGTGTCGGTGGAAAGGACATAAATGGAGGTGACTCTTGTAATGGCGGCAATGAAGACCGTCGTGGCCTTCGTTCAGGTACCGGCGGTTGTGTCGGTGGCCAGGAAAGAAACGGAGGTGGCTCATGCAATGGTGGCATTGCAGACCACCGTGGTCGTCGTTCAGGGGCTGGTGGTTGTGTCGGTGGCAAGGACAGCAATGGAGGCGACTCATGCACTGGCGGCAGTTCAGGCCATGGCGGTAGTGCAGGAAACGGTGGCAGAGATGGTAACGGAGGCAGTGCGGGCAACGGCGGTAGTGCAGGTAAAGGCGGTAATGCCGGTAACGGTGGAAGTGTTGGCGGAAATTGCAACAATGGAGGTATATTAGGAAATGGCGGCAGTGCAGGCAACGGTGGCAATTCAGGCAACGGCGGCAGTGCAGGCAACGGAGGCAATGGCAGCCAGCGCACCCGTGGAGTCAACGGTCGTGGTGGAGGCAATTCAGGATGGTGCACCGGCGGCGAATAGTCAGGTGGAAAGTTATCCGGAGGAGGAGGCAACGGGGGCTCCATCAGTGGCGGGAAAGGAGGCAATGGTGACAATTCAGGAGGCGGACAGTTAGGAGGAAAGTCGAACGGAGGAGGCAATAGTGGCGGTTGCGGTGAGTATCGAGGGCAGAAAGGGGAAGGCGTGACAGGTTGACTAACCAAAGTATCCACCGTGTAAATTTCAGTATCAAACATCTTAAACGTAAGTCTGAAGTTCTGAGCAGGGCCGGCTTCTGCAGCACAACCCTGGCCGTCGCCGGAAACCTGAGCCCGGCAACCACTCATGTCCACCGGACCTCTAAATTTGATTGTGTAGGTCCCAAGCCAGTTTGTAGTTTCTTCCGTCAAGACTGTGAACTGCCCATGCTCCCCTGGGCAAGCCAATAATACTCTTACTCCTACAATATACAAAAATTCCAAATTTAGTCCTTAAACTGTAAACTATTTCTTAATATTGTCCATAGACTTTTTTTTCTTCTTTACATTGATTGCCCAAAATAGTCAATCATGTCTTAAACTGCATTTTACAATTATAATAAACTTGTACCATTTTCCCGCTTATTATGTGTTGTCTTGATAAAAATGTAAAGATAAATAATATTTAAAATATACTTGAGGTATGAAATCACCCTTTAAACGATTAATTGATAGCAAATCTATTATAAGTTAAGACTTGACTTACACAAATTGTATTTCTTTTATATTTTTCATATGTTAATATCATAAGTAGGTAATCAACATTTTTTTATAAAACACTTTTGTTTTAAAAAATATTATCAAAAGAAAAGTATTGAAACTTTATATTCATAAAATACCAATATTTAAATGGTTTTTTATGAACAAAATTAAATAGTTTTTTACCTAGAGCATTTATAATAATAGATTTTTGGGATTTTCTAACATATGTCCTAAAGGAACACATAAGAAGCGATAATCGAACTATTAATTATGAGGAATATTACTATAATTAAATATGAAATTTATTAATTATAGAAAATGTTCTTCATAATTAATGCATTTCACATTTAATTATGGTAATATTTCTCATAATTAATAATTTATGGCACATGTTAGAAAATCTCCAGATTTTTAAAGCTTTCGAAATTCTTTTACTATCAGAAAATAAAACATATTATTTGAAAAGTCATCCCAAACATTTATTTTTTGCTAATATTGTGATTTTCTTTTAGCCTTTTCACATTTATCCCTATATTTAATAATATTTTAGTTTATATCCTAACTAGATTTAGATGTGAGGTTAAGTTTAGACTTTATATTTAATTACTTAACTTATTTAATAAACAAAAGTTGATATTTTTTTTTAAAAAGTTATATAATTTACAAATAGATATCAAAACTTTCAAAATTAAAAAATTATCAAATATTACAAAATATTGTGGTTACATAATCTTTTATCATTTTTTAACTAAATATTTGAAAATTTTATCATTTTTATATTTTTGGAAGAAAAAAAAAACACCAGGCAAAGTTATTTCTTAGTTTTATTTTTTTGCATTAAGTGACTATTAGAGACATTACTCATAACTTACTTGTATAAAAAATTACACTCTCTTCATATAAAAATCATACAGTGTTTCTAGCTATGTCCGACGACACCATTGAGTAGTATCTTATCATACAAGTGAGTAAGTTCATCATCCATGAACTGGCAGACGATACCCATGAAAGGTTGTTGATGATTACAGATAAATAACCTCAAGATGAAGCAAAACATTCTAGCTGAGGACCACGTAAAAATGATATATTCATTGAGGTCGTGAAGAGGGCCATTGTCGTCTTGTTGGTGATTACTTTTCAAATCAACCGGTTTTCCACCGAGCATCTTCAGGCGGGGGTTTTGGATGGATAAGGAAGTATTCATTAGAAATGCCGATTTATTATTCAATCAGACTATTTAGATTGAAGGAGATGCAACTGGAAGTAATGGTTAAAAAGAGGTCAAGGGGCATGGTACAAAATAATTCCTTCTATTAATGAATTTAATCAGATTAATTATTAGCATACAAAAGCAATGCCATAGTTATTGGTCTGATGACCAAGTAGAGGATTGTTGCAAGAAAATTGTTTTATTCTATATACAAGAAGCCATTTAGATATGAGCACGCATGTGCAATTTTTAAGGGTGAACCTAAATTGAAGGGGGTGATACGGATCATGCTCATACCAAGAGAAAAAAACTAGCTCGTGTAGTTACACAACAATCATTAGATGCATAAACAAGCTTCAACATTGAAGATGATGTAGCTGAAGTCCGTCACATGGAAAAGAAGAAAAAATAATACAAAAGCAAAAAGAAAAAGGAACTACCTCAAAACAAAACAAAACAAAAAATCTTAGAGATTAAATTAACAAAACTAACTCTTTTCAGATGTCTCAGATAGATGAAGTATTGGAACACACGAAGGAAATGACAGATTCATTCAAGCATTAAAAAAGGATTAAAAAAAAAAAAAAAAAAAAACTTGGATATCATCAAATCTTTGTACGATGAGATAAAAATAAAAATATTTAAGATAATAAAATCCTATTTTACAAAGCGAAAGAAAAAGTTAATGACATCAAATCTATTAGTAGTCAACAAAATATCAGTATTTGCCAATTTTTTACTCTTATAGATGTCACTAACTTTTTCTTTCACTTTACAAAGTGTGATTTTATTATCTTAAATATTTTTTCAATCTTATTTATCTTTATAGTTTTTTATATTATTTATATTAATGGTATTTTGTAAAAAAGAACAAATAATTTGTTATATATTTTTGTTATTTAACAAAAAAAAAAACAATGATGCTTTGTTAAAAAAAAAAAAAAAAAAAAAAAAAAAAAAAGTTATTACCAATCTATAACATTAGCCATTTCTTTGTTAAGTAGTCCTTATATCATTGAGTTGCTTAACAAATTACAGGGTTTTTTTTCTTGTTTTTATGCGGAGAAATGATGTATAGAAAAGCTATTTCTTATTTAAAAATTAAAACATAAATTGACTCTCTTAATAACAATAAATGACTATTTTATTCCTGTATGTAGAAGTAAAATCGAACAAAAATAATTATTTATTTAATAACTATTATAAATTGAAAGTGTAAAAGAAAAAAAGAAAAAAAGTCAAACTAACTAAAACAAGATTTGGTTTAGTAAGTATAACTCACCTCCAAGAGGATAATCAAGATGGTTAATCTCACCATCTTTGCACTGATCACAAAACACCCTCCCACTCACCATCGTTTCTCCATGACACACATCACTTGTAATTGTACTTGTACTTGACCCCACCACCAACACAACACTTGTCACAACCACACCAATGTAAATGTTTAGCCAATCCATCCACATTTTAAGTTGCAACAAAACAATTACCACCACAAACAACACATTCACAAACTACTATCTAGTCTAGTTAATAAAGAAAAAGAGCACCAATTTTTCTAGCTAAGTTTGAAATATAGGGGTATCCAAGCTGACATACAACCTCTGAAGCCTGAGGTACAAACCATCATAGAAAGAGAAAGGAGGGTGGTGTAATGGAAGTCTCAACCGCCCACAATAAATAACAAGTTAACAAATAAAAGGAGATTATTGACAAGTAATAAGTAAGAACAGAGGCAGTAGTATATAAAAGGATGAGCCTTCTTTGTGTGTGTGTGTTGTTTTAAAGACTCATAATCTTTGTAACAAATTTGGATATTTTCCATCTTTCACCCATAAATAAATATGATAATATTATACTAATTGCTACTTAAAATTCAATTGACCCAAGAGGCATCAACGATAAAATGCTTCTTGTTCAACTAAACTTATGCCATGTCAATTGTCATGCCACCATAAAAGTTTAAGTGTTTGTGGATGTCTCAAATATATAAATATATAGTTGCTCTTAATAAATATAAAGTTGTGAATACATGCACTCATGTCTGAATAAAAAATAAAAAAAAAAAGAACAAAACTGATAAAGAGGAACATAGTAACAATAATAAATAAATTAACACAAAGTATGCATTTAGTCCTACAAAAATCACTCTACTCATCAAGAAGTCTATCAAAACTTGTAACAGTAGCAACAAAAACATGGAAAAATAGAACACAAAACTTGCCATTATATCTTCTTCTTCTTCTTCTTCTTTATCTCAATCTCAAATCACTTCTGTGCATCTTCTTCTTCTTCTCCTCCTACTTCTTCTTCTTCAGGTTCTTCAGTATGTCCATTTTCACTTGTCTCGCCACTACACATCATCAAACAGTATGCAAGTATGCCATTAAGTACAAACTTTTTACAAAATTACCCCTATTCTATTTTTGCTTTTACATTTCCACAAGTATGCTCTCATTTTCTCATATGTATTCTTTAATCTCATTTATCCAAGGCAGCATTTAATGGAAAAAGGAAACAAGGATTACAATTTCTCATTTAGACATCATACTTCCAATTCCAATCACAGCTCATTTTAAGAAATGGTTATTAAATCAAAAGGTATAATTAATTGTTATAATTACAAAAACAAGTTGACATTTAAGGTCAAAAAGACAACTGATATACAATTTCATAGGTTAGTAGTTTCTTTATTCCCTACATAACAAGAAAAACAAAATTCCTAGAAACTACAAGATCCCAAGAATAATTAGGTCATTTTTCTTTTTGGTTCAAGCAACCAATCAAAAGAACCATAAAAGTTTAATAACCAACCAACTGATTTTGCCATTTACTTCACTTCATGTAAGTGGAAACAACAAGAAAATAAAGAACTGGCATAAAATATACAATTTAATTTATTAAATTGCAAAAGCATCCAATCATTCTTGCCACTTTTTACTTCTTCCTTTCAAAAAGTGAGTTCTTCCCAATGTACTTTCACAATAACAAAGGAATGTTTGCAATAAAAAACCATCTATAATGTTTTAAAGAGATAAAAACCCAACATTTATAAAAATATCCAAATTAATGGCCCTTGAAAAAGAATATATGGATTAACACAATAGCCTTTAGTTACAACACCAAAATACATCTTTTTATGTCCAACATTTGTTAATAGTGTATCATAAAGCTGCCAACAAATGCTTCTTGCTTAAAAACATTACCTTATAATCAAAAACTAAGCATTATGTATAGACTTATTTGTGTCCATTTCCTTGTATGATGTATACATTTTACCAATGTTTAAGTATCCAATAATACCTCAAAAGGGCACAAATTCAACTCAATGCCATACTATAAACAGATTTTAAAATGTAATAATGCAATTCACAAGAACAAACAAGGCATATTAGATACATAACAAGTCATAACCACAAAATAAGACGAATAGATTAAGACCTAAGCGCAATGTACTTCCATTAATTGTGTGTATTATATCATCCCATTGTTACTTTTTCTATTACAGCAATATAAAATCTGCCCGATTATATCAGTAAAACTTGCTTTGTATTTGTATTTGTATTTGAACCACATGGTTATAATTAGGTAGATTTTTGAAGAATTAAAAGTAAGATGCTATAATAAACAAATCAGTGAAAGTAATTTGCTGTTTAATGTAGAGTAATTATATTATCAAACCTTGGAGGAGGAGCATCATTGGTTTGGTCCTTTCTCCAGCTCCTCTCAGTTGAATCTTCATTGGATCTTGCCCTTCCAATGCCTCTTTTCATTCTATCTCCAGAACCTAATTCTTTAATTTTCATGGCTTCGAGCTTTTCATCCATCTCCTTCCAGTCTTCACCCTTTTCCTTCAACACCTGTTCTCTTGGACGTGCATCCCCAAATGGGTTTGAACCTTTTGGTTTCACAGCCCCCACAGTCTCAACAACATCTCCGACTGGCAACTTTCTAGGCTGCAAATTAAGCTTGGGTCTACTCATACTCCCACCACCGCCGCCGCCGCTCACTTCCTCCCTCTTTTTCCCCCAAGTGTCTGAATCAGAAGAGTCGAGACCACCTCGGCGATCTCTTAGACTATCAAACGCATTCCCACCACCACCACCACCACCACCGAATCTCCGGGTTTCAACTTCTTTCTTTCTACCCCAATTATCAGAAGTATCAGCGTCGCCACTCGATTCAAACCCCATTCTTCTCTCCCTGTCAAATCCCCCACCATTCCTTCGCCCTTCTGATGGAGTATAGCTCTTGTTTGATGCCCAACTGTCCGATTCATCAGCACGGGAATGCGAGCCCTCAAAAAAGCCGCCTCCTCCTCCTCCTCTCTCCCTTCTCTCAAATCCACCACCACCGCCAATCGTTGATTTCTTCGCTGCCCCCCAGTCATCAATCTCATCGGCACGTGAAGGACCCAAAGGTTCCCTAGTCGATTTACGACCCTCATCACCACCACCGCCGTTAACCCTACCCGAACCCCATCTCGAATTCGACGAATCGCTGTTCCTATCACCACCGTAAGATCTAAACCCACCGCCTAACCTAGTCCGGTCCAATTCCTCAGCAGTCCGCTGGCGTGGACCGGTAGGAAGCATCATCATGTCCTCAGCGGTTAACCCCTTCGCCGCCTGATAAGTCTGACCGGAAGGCTTATTCGTCGACCCAGTTACAAACTCGCCAAGAGATAAAGTCTGGCCCTTCTTCTTCTTCGTTTTGGTGGCTGCGGCCGTCATCAGGTCAGGGAAATCAGACATCGCCGCCGCCGCAGCACGGTCGTTGGTGTTGGCATGGGTTTGTTCTTGTTTAAGCTCGTCTTCGTGTTCCTCGGAGTCCAGAGCCCAGGCGCCTGGTTTCGCCCACGCACTTGTTACAGTTGCCGCCATGGTTGCGTTGCGTTTCTCTCTTTGCTGTTTCGAGAGAAAGAAAAGATAGGTTTTCAGAAGAGTGTGCGTATGCGTTTCTGCGTGAGATCGAAGCGTTTAAAGGATCGGTGGTATTATAAAACCGAGTTTTGATCGGACGGCTGATATATCGTTACAGAAACCTTGTGTGATCCGGATACTCTTTGGTGCAAACTGCAAACGGATGGTGGTGGTTGACTAAAATATTTCCTTTTTCTACAAAAATAACTAATATAAATATTTACAATTTGTGTAAAACTCTTTAATTTTTTTTAGATAAGATATGGTTTCGATTTTCAAAAATATTTAATTAATTTAGTTAAGCCATCAAAATATTTACATAAGAAAAACGAAAACCAGCATCCCATAAGATAAAAATTGTTGTATTTATTTAATACATGTTTCAAAATGAAAATTATTACATTTATTGTTAGACAACATTTGAGTTAACTATAGAAAATAATGTTAAAAATGTTTTTTATGGCAAAACTCATGTATAATCAATGAAAACAATTAACGTCAAATCATTAGTATCCATCACAAATGTGTGTTTTGTTGGAAATTTCATCATTTCAATAAGATTTTTTTTCCAAAGTTAACAAAGAGTATCTTTCTTAATAAAAAAGTTTAGGCAAAAGAAATATTAGGTATTTGCACTTTCATAAAAGCCACTTAATTATTTCTTCCTTAAACCCTTGATACTTTTCTTCAATAAATTACTTAAGCCAAGTGTTGGCTTTATTTGGAACTCATTAGAGTAAACGGAGTCGAGCAGGGATAGGAGACAGTTTCATTGTGGTGACACTCTAGCACCGACGAGTACGCCACCCCCATTTTCCCGATACCGAATCGGAAAAGAGTGTCTAGGGCGGGTTCTACAAACTGCTTGAGGTTGGAAGCAAAGGATAAGAGGATGAAGGGTTGAGAGGGAGCCAACTTGGGCGGGTTCAGCGAGAACACTACTTTGTCCAACTTAGGATCAACGGGTTTAGTGGATTCAGAGGGTTCAACGACAACCACTATCTTTACTTTTATATGTCATTTTTTTATGTCAATTTTAGTTTCAAAATTCATAGAAGCTATTCAAATTATTTTTTTTGTGGCGATATTGAGGATCGAAAAATGTCTAGTATTAAATTGGACATGGTGTTTGTGTCAAAAACTAAAGGTGGGCTTTATATTGGTATTGTTGGATTAGGTGTCTAAGTTCATAACTATTTTGGTATGTACTTGACCCGATTATGAGCATGGTCCTTTTGGGTTGTCTTCACCTTAGCAACTGATAGGATGAATTATGGAGAAAGATGATTAATTGTGATTTATTAATATATTATGTGAATAATATATTAAAAGAGAAATCATAAGATTTAATTAATATTGATCAAAAATTAATTTAGAATTAGTTTTGTGGTCAAAATAGGTTAATTAAATCAAGGGGGATTGATATTGTAATTATAAGATAGTTACAAAGTTGGGCTTAGGATCCATAAGGAAGCAATGGACGAATTGTATATGGGAGTCCATATAGAAATCGTCCAAGGGGCCTTCTGGAAGGATCCTTTGGG